TCAATCATATTATGCCACATCATTTAAAATTTGAAATGTTTTTCAATTGATATTATATTCTTGTAAATTTGTGTTCAGTTACACCCAAATTAAATAGGTGATTAATTGAGGGACGTGTCAATGAGTCCAAATCTTTACCAAATGATATTGAAGTGATCAAGTCATTAGAATACAAATATTAGGTTTTGGAATATTCATGCAATAAGCGACACCTGTATGCGACTCTAGTCAATAAGATCATTTTCAAAATGGCGATGATAGCATGATCTTGATGATCATTTACCAAAAAGTTTGAATTATCTCAATGAAAAAAGGTTGTTAATGGTAAGGTGATGACAGTTTTACAACTATTTGATTTGGATTGTCGAGGATGACTTCCAATCACAATGGATCAGCTACCTTTCACCTTTTTAAAGTACTTTTCAAAAGTGCTTTTACGTGTAAAAATGCTTACTTTGTTATCACATATTCACACTCGAGACCGGTTTCGATACCATTTACCGATTATTCCATAAGCTTAAACTATAATGAGAGGCAAGTCAATGGATATTTCCACCGCAAAAAGTCAACATTGATTACTGTTTTCAATTTAAGGCCTAAATACGGAATACAAATAATTAAGGAGCTTTCTAATATGGGTATCCCATCGATTGATAGTGCATATTTAATGCTAGATCTGATTAAAATAACATAAAATAAGCAAAATTAACCCAATCTTACAAACCGCCACACTACCAATTGTAGTTATATATATATTTTTTTCATACCATATGTAGAATTCTCCTATAAATAAATCTGAAAATTTTGAAAAATTAATTCCTGCAGTGGAATGTATTATCCCAAATGATCAGTTAAAGGACCACATGATGGAGAAATGCTAGATGCAGAAAAAATGGGCAACTTTAAAATTTGTGATATGAACTTTCATTTAAATGGACCACCGGGCTAACAAATCAATCTTTGCCCGTGGCCTATCAGCCATCACGAGTTCTCTTTGTTTTATCAAACCCTTTGCTTTTCTTTCTATTTCCTTCTTTCTGTATCCATCGCCTTATGTATATGCACCACTAAACCGTGTGTGGCAGCAAAAAGTTGAAGTTTTTATTTGATGGTCACATGAAATTCGAGATAATCATCAGTTTCTCTTTTGAAAACGAAGGTTCTCAAGACCAAGTCTAGTGTCAATGGCTAGGATTAATAAAATTAGGTGGTTTTTGGTTCATAAATATGAATTATAGTTTTAATTTTGAACAGTATTTCTAATGTTCAAACTTTCTATTTAAAACTCATGAATCAAACGATACTTTAGTCTTCTCTATTTTGTTTAAACAAAGTAAGAATTTAAGCTAACTAAAGTATATCGTATTCTCTATTTTGCTTAAACAAAATACGAATTTAAGCTAACTAAAGTATATCGTAAGAAACGCCAAGAACCACCGAGTGTGGTGGCCTAGCGGTTATGAAATACAGTACTAGTGGGCTCACTGTCATAGGTTTGAGTGCTGGGTTACCCCCTTAGATGTAGTAAATTTAAAGGTTTATTTTCTGTCAACCTAATACTCGATTTAGAGTGTCTAAGACCACGCCCCATGTACCCTTACTGTTAACATATTTGGTGGGACTAGAGTGATGTCCTCCTCCTTTGAGAGGTAGAGTTCACCTATAGAGCCTTAAACGAACATTTCTGTCAGCCTCTGGTATTATAACTACCTTCACATTTTCATTTGGATAATTTTCATAATTAATAAGATTGCAGAAAGCTGAAGGGTACTTTTTGTTCAATAATCACATGCATTGAATTTTTGAAGAGGAACTTAATGTTAGCTACGAGGAACCTACCTCAATATGAATGGTTCAAAGACCTCCAGCAGTATCAACTAACCCACTAATTAAAATTGCTCTCTTTCTATCAACTTGAAAGTACCAGCGCGTTCTTCTCTAACTCATCAAATTCCAGTGTCTTTCTTGATTATTCATGACCAGATTAGAAATGGGGCTGAACTGTTTCTGTACCTTTTCTTTCTTAAGAAGGAAGTTGTGTTTGATTTGATTATCATATAAAGCAAATGTATATCTATATTTGTATGTGTATTATATCTGTAAAGACCTTAACGAAAAAGAAAAGAATCCAAATGATTAAGGTTATATAGATATTGTGCCATACTATTCATCCCACAATTAGTGGAACGTTTTTAGCGTGTGGGGACTACATTTTTCTTTTGATAAGATTGTGGTACTACATTTAAGAGACGCATAACCCTATAACTTATTTGGCTGGTTTGATTATATAGGGGCGCGCGCGCAAATATATAAATATATATATATATATATATTATATATATAAATATATTTATACATATATGTATATCATAATACTAATATTATAAATTTGCACCGTATCCTTGGAACTCCCAAGAGCGGAGTAACGACAGATCCTTATACATGGTATTTTAATTCTAGTTCAGATCATTAAATATAAGAAACGAGTAGGGATGGGTTTATCTTCCTGAGCCCTCCCACATTGAAAACCCAGTTGCCCCATGACGCACGTGATGCACATGCCCTGAGTCTTTAGTAGGGAAATGGCAAATTGTTTTTTGTTCATATTTACATGAAAGGTTGGCTTGCACGAGGTGGGGTTTCTCTTCAATCATTCACATGTACAAAATGAAATGTTCAGTTCTATTAGTGACTGAGAATTATGTTTTGGAGTTTTATGGTTAAGATTCTGCGGCCAAAATTGAGGATCGATTGAATTAATTTTGCAGAATAATTTAAGGTGACATGTGGAATCAGGATTATGCTACTCCAATATTTACCGACTTATGTACATCGATCTTTTAATTGTCATTGTTGCAAATCCTTAATTTAATTGTGTGATATAAATCAAACAATCATAATGAATTGAAAAATTGACCAAAATAATTTATAGCCTTTAATAAGTACAGTCACATTGTAAAATGTCGCATCATCAATTGTAATTAAGATATACAACTACAACTACAGTTATGAAAGAAAATAACCATTTAAAACTCTTGCAGCGCATGCATAAATTGTATACATAAAAGTACATACATACATATATATATATATATATAGGCTCCGTTCACTTCGTTGATTCGAGTTTAGAATTTGAGTTTTTCTACAGTAAAAAGCTCTCACAAACAATCACATCTAACTTTTTTACTACAGTAAAAAGTTCTCACATAAAATCACATCTCAACTCGAATCAGCAAAGTGAACGAGGCCATAGTCTATTTCATGTGGAGCCCACGCTTTATTTATAATCACTTGCGAGAACATCAAAAGTTGTGAAGGGCTCAACGGGCTCCATATGTGACTCTAGACATGGAAAATATCACATACAATGCAATATTCACTTCTTGCATATGTCGTGTTACTGAAACGTGGGACAATACACACACTAATTGAGAGATACAATAATATACATATATTATATGTAGGTTTAAAATTGAATATACCAAATTCAATTTTTCTCGAATATCCATTCACTGAAAATGCATTTTTCTATTCAAGGGTGAGTGTGTAATTGAGAGGTTTTTACTTTGGAGTAGTAAATTCCAAAAATTTCTACACCTAGGCTCCTTTAATCTTTCACGTCGAAAGATTTTCATAGATAGTTGCAGTGGGGCCTAGCTCTCTGAGTTGCAAACAGTTCACATATGTAAAGTTAATGTCAATCTATTGTTCAAGATATACATAAATTATTCATATACGTGTTTTGCGTGCTATGATGCTATTTATGTTTTCATCCTTTAGAATATGCCGCTTTGATCTCTTAAAAATGCAATAAATAAATAAATAAAATCTTGCACTTCACCAATCCAATCCTTCTATCTGTCATTCTACTAATTAGTGAAACATAACTAAACTAAAAGACAAGGAAAGACTGTAATGAATAATGTAAAACGTTAATCCTGACTACAGAATAAGTAAATAATAATCTCCATTCAATTAATTAGAAAGGTTCAAGTTTTTCCTAGAGCTGAAACTAGCAAAATAAGGATGGATAATTAACAAACTGTAATCGGCTCATGTGGCCCCATAACAACGGTCGGTGAGAAAGTAGTGCTATCACATTAAAAAGAAAAAATGTTCAGCTGATCAGAAACGGACAAAAATAAATTAGAATCATACGCACACGCATACGCATAGAGAGAGTGAATATTTTATGGCGGGAATCAATTTTACACTTACGGCTCTGATTGCGTTTGCATAAGCAAACAACAACAAACAAACGGCTCTTACTAAGAAGATGCAGAAAGAAGGAGAATTGAATATGAGTTAGAATTGTGTTACTTTGTTGGAAGGATTTTGTGCACTAGTGTCATCACCTCTAAGACAATCTCCTATTGGTCCAGGTGGCATCCATGAATTTGTCTGAACCACCCTTCCCCTCATGATCCTACTCCTTCTGTATATTGAATGAAGACACCAATACATACATTCATATATATATATATATATATATATTCACTCCAAATCTGTCCTTTGCAAATTTCAACTCCAGGCTATATATGTATTTAACATGATGCTCAACTCAGACATGTATCTATGATGGAGCTCCCACCACCACCACCACCACCAACCATTGACACAAGTTCTATCTCTCTCTCTCTCTCTCAAGATCGCAGACAATCTGCTGCAACTGCGTTACAGACTATACAGAGAGCCTCACATGTCTGCCACTTCATTGCTCTCTCACAAATCTGTGTTTTCCTCTTTTCCTTCTCTCTTATACTTGCCCTTTTTGCGGAAGCACCAAGCAAAGAAAATCTGTCCTTTCATCTTTTTTACCACTTTCTTTTCCTAGGCTTGGTGATGCACTACTTATAACTAGCTATATGCATGATAAATTTCCTGCATAATAGCATGTATAGCATGACAATTCCCTTGTGCCATTACAGCGGCAAGTTGCCTCCCTTGTTGTGTGTGTGTGTATGTATATATAGTCCTTTCTTAGAGGGCTTACTCTCCAACCGAAGTTTAAAATTTCCTGGTACTGTAGCTAGCTTTGAGGACTAATTCTGCAGACACAAAAAGGATGTCACTTTCCTGCACAAGAAACTTCTTTCGGCGCTTCTGTATCGAGGAATTCGGAATGGGAAGTCTTGCTCACAGTAGCTTCTTGTCTAGTGATCTCTTGCCATCCCTCGGAGCAAGAATCAATCAGACAACCAAACTCCGGAAATACATTATTTCCCCTTTCAATGCCCGTTATAGGTGATTATCCTGGACACAGTCCACTAAATGTAGGCAGACAAAACGCGCGCGAGCGCACATACTAATCACTTCCTTCTTCTCACGTCATACTTTTCGTTTATTTTCCAGGGCTTGGGAGATGTTCCTGGTTCTTCTAGTCATCTACTCAGCCTGGATTTGCCCATTTGAGTTTGCATTTCTGCCTTACAAACAAGATGCACTTTTCATAATCGATAACATTGTCAATGGCTTCTTTGCCATTGACATTTTCCTCACCTTCTTTGTCGCATACCTCGACAGCCATTCATATCTCCTTGTGGATGATCCCAAGAGGATTGCAATAAGGTGAGTAAACATTTTAGGCTTCTACCTCTTTGACATAAATTTATACATTTCTTCGGCTGAAATTGCGCATCTTACTTCATCAAAAACCAACTTATCACAGGTACATATCTACGTGGTTCATTTTCGATGTCTGTTCCACCGCACCATTTCAATCCATCAGCCTTCTCTTCACTAATCACAGCGGTGAACTCGGCTTTAAACTGCTAAACATGCTCAGACTCTGGCGCCTCAGGCGCGTTAGCTCCCTGTTTTCAAGGTGTCACGATCACTTTATCCAATCTCATTCTTTATAGCTCATTTGGTTCATAGGTTTGAATAGAAAAGTTTGAACAAGAATTTAAATTTTGAGAGAGAAAGCACTGCAGTAAAAAGTTTGAACAGTAGTTTGAACCTATAAAACAAACGGGGGCTTAGTTTCTTCTGCTGAAAAATTCCAGTTTTACAGACAACAGAAACACAAGTTTAGTTCTTTCTCCTCTTTTTTTTTTTTCTTTCCTTTAGACTTGAAAAGGATCTCCGATTCAACTATTTCTGGACTCGCTGCACAAAGCTTGTCTCGGTAAGCCACTGAAACCAGAAAACTTCCATTTCCTTTATGAGCATTGATCCTGCAAATACCAGTCAGAGTTTCGCCATTAAAGGCATAAATTTTGTTTTTTCCTTCACTTTGGTGAATTTTCAGGTAACCCTTTTCGCAGTCCACTGCGCAGGATGTATTATCTATCTGATTGCAGATAGATATCCCGATCCAACACGAACTTGGATCGGTGCTGTCAATCCGAATTTCAAAGAAGATAGCTTGTGGAACAGATATGTAGCAACAATGTACTGGTCTATCACAACATTAACCACAACTGGTTATGGGGACTTACATGCTGAGAATCCCAGGGAAATGCTTTTTTGCATCTTTTACATGCTCTTCAACTTGGGATTGACCTCTTACATCATTGGTAACATGACAAACTTGGTTGTTCATTGGACCAGCCGCACCAGAAACTTCGTGAGTTGTCTCTCTCTTTTTGGTCTTTACTGCTCCACCATGGTTTCTTTCACCTGCTAGATTGAGCTAATATTGAAACCAGATTCTTAAATGGATTCTAAATGGACCTGTCACAACCAACAATAAAACAAGTGGTCCCATATCCCATGTTACAGCATAAAAACAAGTTTACATTCATTTTTGTAAGTTTGAACTGTTTCAAACAGTGATTCTGTTAACAAAGCATCAGAAGTAGATTTTTCATTACCACAAATAGATACAATGGTCCTTAATTAATTTCTAGTGGGTCCCGTCAATATATGTCTCTATGAAAGCTATTAAGACTAGTGGGCTCTTCAATATTTTTTTGGTCCCATGAAATCTATATTCTCTTACTCCTTTAATAGTTGTTAATATGGAAACCAGCACAAAAATACAAGTCTGTCTCATGTAAGCTATCCTCTCTACCCCACATCTGACTGTATAATATCTTTAAATTTCAAACCAAGTCAAACAATATTAATATGCCATGTTGCATAAGGGAAAGATATTAAAACCTCAATGAACAGTGTTGGGTGCCATTGTAGTAGAAGATAAATTGCAAACCATTTTCAGTCCTATAAATAAGTCGACCTGGGATTCTTTAATTCAAACCAAAAAAAAAAATTACTCCTGGCCTGAGAATGTTAATTTGAAGACCTTTCTATTTGTCCTGTAGAGGGATACAATCAGAGCTGCATCAGAATTTGCCACACGGAATCACTTGCCCCCGCAAATACAGGATCAAATGTTGTCACATTTATGTCTAAGATTCAAGACAGAGGGATTGAAGCAACAAGAGACCTTAAATGGTCTGCCAAAAGCAATACGTTCAAGCATTGCGTACCATCTGTTCTTCCCCGTTGTGCAAAAAGTCTATCTCTTCCAAGGGGTTTCTCAAGACTTCCTTTTCCAATTGGTAACACATGACATGGCTTTTTTTTTTTTTTTTTTTTAAGAAAAATTATAGATTGTTCTGGAGAAGAAAAAAAAAAGTAAAACTCGCTTTATAGCCAATGAACATGCATCTTTACTAGTGGGCCCATAGAATCAGTAAAAGGCCATTGCATGGGCCCTTATGAACAAAGACAAACAAACAAACAGAAAACAGAAAAAAAAAATGGTATTATAAATGATTTTGTCTCGTATAGATAGTCACTAAATTTCACAATTTGCGGTAGTAATACAGTTTTTTTCACCTGAAAGGTTTCAGAGATGGAAGCAGAATACTTCCCACCTAGAGAAGACGTAATTCTGCAGAATGAGGCTCCTAGTGACCTCTATATACTGGTCTCAGGATCAGTGGTAAGTGCTCAGCTTTTCTCATGCACGGTACCTTAAAATCCTACACACATAAAGTTTCTCTCTGACAAAATTTCATTTGGCAAATTCGTGATCACAGGATTTTATATCCAAGATTAATGGGCATGATCAAGTAAGTCATCTTGTTAAGTTTTTCTAATAGTACTAGTTAGGAACATGCGCCCACGCGTGCATTTTTTTTTTTTTTGGTATTTTTGTACCTATTTATTATTCTTCTTATAGTTGAGTTTAATAGAAAAAAAGTTTAGTAGTTTGAGTTTAATAGAAAAAAAGTTTAGTAGAACATTTAAAAGAGGAAAAATTTTTGTGGAGAAAATTAGATTAGTAAATTATTTATGGGGTACATAGAGAAAAAGTGTCTTTAAGAGGCTTGTATGACAAAAATGTTTGGCAAGGATACATCCGAGAAGATGTTATTGAAGGGGAGCAATCAGAGTAACATTTACCAGGACCGCAGTTGGAAAAAATATATATATGTTAAGTACAAGAAAAACTGTTTAGGTAACCTACACCAAATATATATATATATATATATATATATTTGCATAGGGACGTATGTGAGACAAGTTTTAATGGGTAAGTTAGAGGAAATGACATTTATGAGATAAATGTTAGTTAAAACCGTCACAGGGAAACTTCAATATATTAAAACCAAAACGACAAAGACCAAAAAGTTCGAAATAAAAAGAAACGGGGAAATTTGTAAGTCACATTTGCTAGAATACATTCTAGAAGATACCAAAAAAAATTGCAATAAGGATAAATTAGAAGGAAAAAAAATATTTCAACGATACACATTAAAAAATAACTTAAAAAGAAGCAAATCCGAAAATTTATAAGATATTAAGGGAGAAAACAACAAAAGAAGAGTACAAAGTAGGAAGGAAAAAAAAAAAAGGACCAAAAATGGAAGGGAAAAAAAAAAAAAAAAAAAGCGGACGTTTCGTCCACCAGAGGCCCAAAAATAAAAAAAGGGACGAAATGTTTGGTCTTCCTCCTCTCTCAGGGAAGGACGAAACACTAGAAGCCGGATTGTGGCTTTTATATATTGTAAAAGATACAAGTGCCTGTGGACATTCAATGACAGAGAAGACATTAGCCCGACCTTAACATTTCACATGCTTTGTACAGGTTCTCGGAAAAGCACTTGCAGGAGACGCATTTGGAGAAATTGGAGCCTTGTGTTATAGGCCACAGCCATTTACAGTTCGGACTACAGAGCTTTCTCAGATATTACGACTCAATATTACTCCACTCATGAACACCATACAAGCCAATACAGAAGACGGACACATTGTCATAAATAACTTCTTCCTGGTATGTAAAATCATAGAAAACCTCCATTAGGAGGAGTGAAAAATGGTTCATCCGCGTCACCCTAATCTTCCAAAATTGACCTATCTTGCATTTTCACAGAAAATGAAGGGCCAAGAAAGCTTAGAATTCGAACACCCACATGCAGGTCCGGGATTGGTTCTCAATGAGTGGCCTGATGGAGGACAGACAGAAGGATGCTGTTCTTACACGGGATGTCGAGACAACTCATGTGAGAACACACTATTGCAAGAAACAAAAATCCATTTTCAAGGACCGAAAGCAATGGGGAAGGGTGAGAATACTCTAATGCGAGAAACGAAAATGGATATCCAAGGACCGAAGGCAATGGGGAAGAGCGATACGGGCAATTCCCAAGCTCCTACTAGACCGGCATTGCACATGAACTCTATGACTCGTGAGGGTCAAAGGGCTCTAAATGCTGCTGTTAGCAGAGGGCATCTTGAGGTGGTTAAGAATTTACTTGGAGGAGGACCAAATGTGAACAAATCCGACACCAGAGGAAGGACTCTGAGAGGTCTGGCAGAACAGCAGGGAAATAAAAGCATATGTGACCTTTTACTAAGTTACGAAAATAGAAGAAAACCAGACAAACATAAAATCGAGTATATTGGGCCAGAAGCAGGTGAAAGCAATGGATTTTTCCATTCGCACTTGAAGGGGGAACCAAATAGCTCACACTTAAGCACCTCGAGTTCTTCTGGTGATCCAAAGGAAATCCAACCAACAAGGAAAAGAGTTACCATCCACATGCAGTTCTACAACAGAAGCGCACATCTGCAGCACGGAAAGTTAATAATCCTACCTGATTCAATTGACGAGTTGTTGAAGATTGCAGGTAAGCCTTTTTTTGACGCAAGAATAGTACTTACATGACAAACCTGAAACACAAAATGTTAATTGCGTTTTTATTACAGACTACAGTACAAAATTTTGAAATTTACAATTCTGTAAGTGGGCAATATTGGCTAAGAAAAATTCAAACCCTGAACAGGATCAAGAAACTCAGTATACACATAGCTCTCTTCTCATGCTTTGTGAAACTGCAGGTGAAAAGTTCGGAAGCAACAAACCAAGAAAAATCATCAATGCAGAGAACGCAGAAATCGATGACATAAGTGTCATCCGAGATGGCGATCATCTGTTTTTCCTTGATTACAACTATGACAAAATAGATGTTGATGGGACCTAACATTATTCAAAAGAGCAGTAGATGCATATGCAAAGATAGATTGTAACTTTTAGGCAATGTAAAATGAGAGATGACACATCTGACAACACAAGTTGACTGTATTGTGCTCCAAAGCCATCAATTCAACTTGAAAACCACATAAATCAATTACAAATGGTAGCACTTCACTTTGAATCATAAACCTCGTTCAACAACTATCAATAAAGTTAAGCTAAACAAACACATTTTACAATCCTTTCATTGTGCAGTGGACCAGAAGTATAGGAAAGTCCTGGAAAATTTTCCTTTCTGTAAGCTTTTGACAGTAAAAGAAGAATGCGTGCTATCTGAAGCATCGTACAAGAGACAAAATAAGTCGCCTCTAATCGAAGTGATACATTTACTGCTCGCATCGAGATATGATGAAGAACCATGTAAAAACACAGCAGCATGTTCAGAAAGAGCATTTCTGATTTCGGCCCGCTACCATAATTTCAAATAACTTCTACAGAATCGAATTTAATTGAGGATTATTCTTTCTTGATTGCACCTTCAATTGGAATAGGGTGAGCTTCTGAGTTAAAGACAAACTTATCCAGAGGAATAAGAGAGCTGTCTGCAAACAATAAATACAAATACTTTAGGGTCTCGCCCATAAAGAATGTCTCCATTTTGTCTCTTCTATTTGGCGGAATCGTAGTAACATCATCCAGAGAAGTATATCCACCGCTATCAACTCTCGTGAATTTCTCAAAGGCTTCAAAGATCTGCCAACCCCACTCACGATATCTAGAACAGAGAACATTTGTTCACATATAAGTTAAGGTATGAAACATATAAGAAACTATAATTCCTACAATGCAGTGAGAGGCGACCAAAAACAAATTTGAATACTAGAAAAGCTAATGTCAAAAAGGAAAAACATACTTTGGATCCTCTGTGATGCGATATAAAACAAATAATGATTCAACAGTTTCTGGACGTAAGAGATTATGACGATCTGCATGTTTGATGATTATATCATTGACATATTCTGAACTCTTGTTCCCACCATCAAGACCTCCTTCAGAGTATTCCTGCTCAGGAAAATGTCAACTTGACTCGCAATATGAAATAAGATGGAAAGCAGAAAGTAGATAAGAATACAGTGACAAATCTGTGCATATTAATGTTGCGTGTACCATATCCTGTTAAATAGTGTCACGAATAAAAACTGACCTCTGTATGAAAGTAAGCTATTTCTGGAGCAAGACCAGTAGAGGTTACTGAATACATTTCAAAGCAGGTTTTAGCCAAATCTTCGGCAAGCTTTAAATTTTCCAGGTCTTCAAAGTTGAGTAAATTGTCTTTCATAGCTTTTTCCTTGGTAAAACCTTTAGTTGCACCAAGTGCGAGAGTACCTGGCAAAAAGCAAACCTGAAAAGAGCAACAGACATGTTGAATAAATAACTAAACACACAGTCAAGCAATGAGCGCCATAATGCTGTTCCATTGGTGGATAATTTATTATTCCCATGCTTTCACCAAGATTTATGCAAATTTGTATAAACCCACATGTAGAATTAGTAAATTATAGTAACATCTTTAGTCCAGTAATGTAGCTATTTCATCTATTGGCTATAGAGATGGTCTCTAAAGTAGCAGCGGGAAAAGTCAAAGACTAGATTTCGTATTTAGGAAAGAGAACTCTTTATAACATGGCATTGCTTTGACAAGAGCATTACTCATTTAACTTCACTGAGATAGAAAGAATACAGATGCATGCAGCGTAGCAGAAAACCATACTGCTTTGGCCTGCGCCCTGCTGTTGTTTGAGTATTTTATTTTTGGGATTAAGATGACGAGGGAAGATATGCTTATGCAGAAAATTTACTGATGAAGTATCTTCACATGGGTACCTTTCGTGTGCATGTGTATGTGTGGGAAACGGAAGGTTTGATTAATGGAACTTGGTGCATCAAGAAAAACGAAGAAAGGTGCTTATAGAAATAGGATGACATGCAAGAGAAACTATATAGCAAATATCATGAACCCAAGCTTTGGGTACCAAACCCAACTTTATCGATACAGTGGTTGAGTAGACTCTCAGCTAAAAAAAGAAAAGTGAAAAAACTAGAGAACTGATTATCTATATGCAAATCTATCCAGATCCCATGCATCCTAAAGCAGAATTTACTGTAACTTCCTACAGTAAAAATGTTCTAAAGTTTCATATATCATGAGGACAATTCACCATGAGCACAGAAATAACATTTTAACATGAATACTTTTTTAAATGCATTGTATTGCGGAAAATTTTGCTGGAAAACAAAAATTCATGTCGCCTTTCTTGTTCTTAAAGTACCATATAGTTGGAGCAAGGAGTACATATAATGTAGCTAAGATATGGTTATAAACCTTATTTCCTCCTACAGTGTAAATGATGATTGCTAAGCACAGCCACAAAGTATAGACTTATCCCTAGTAGGAATGCTTATAAACCTTCTTTCCTCGTACAGTGTAAATGCTGATTGCTAAGCACAAAGCATACACTTATCCCTAGGGATAAACTTCCGAAGACACCAAACTAAGTATAAATTGGAACCACTTAAATCACGCCAACCATATATCAAGGTATTAACTCATAAGTCTACAGAGAACATGAGTCGAGGAAATACCACGTACCAGGTGATCCATTTTTGGACTAAACTCGCCCTTAGGTCCATAGGGCAATTCGCCAACGAAAACCAGTCCCTTTGGGATTGATCTCCTAACAAGAAGGTGTTTGACACCCTTCATTGCTTCCTCATACATATTATGAAGATATGCCAAATTACTATCTTGACTAGCTCTCCTCTGGAGCCAAACTTTCAGTAGGTACTCATAGTAGCTATCACCACGAGATCCAAGTCTAATATTGTTACCACTAAATTCACCAGAGTGAGAGCTGTAAACATCAAAGGACAAAATAAGAACAATCAAATGAAGGGAAGGAAATATGTCAGTTAAAGAAAGGAAAAATGAAAATAAATAAATAAATAAAACGGTGACTCGGCATCAGGGATGATGGAAACATAAAATTATTTACAAAAAAACACAGGCGAAAACAATCATTAACAAACAAATAAAGCTAACAAAATATGACAGATCAAATGAGAATACATCCATTGGGAATGACACAAGGGATATTATTACCTACATTGTGGTAGAAAAAAATACTACTGTATAAATAGTTGTTTAGCAACTATAATCATAAAATAAAAATCTCGAAGCACAAAGACCAAACAGATTCCAGTGCTCACGGAAACAGCAGACTTCTAATGAAATCATTTTTAAAAAATATAAATAACATGACTCAATGAGTCATCAACATGATAATCTTGAAGAAAAAACAAAAAAAACAAAAAAAAAAGAGGAAAAAAATTCGCCTTCGTGGCAGGTAAAATGTTTCTCAGAACATTCGAATATGCCATGAACCAAAAACAAGACTAGAAATCTAAGAGCAAACGATTTAACTTGGAAACGCAGTGATATTAGCAAATTCTAAATATAGAATCTTTGATTCAAGACACATACCTAATATAGATGGGGACCAGTCCTTCCACCTTTGGGAGGGTCTTCATGTGGTCCAAGACCTTCATGGCTGCTTCAGAGTACTTTGGATCACCAGAAACAGTACTAAGATAATTGAACTCAAGCTGTACAGTGGAAACCTCAGAAGTACTGCTCAACCCCCCAGGAGCCGGATGTGCTGACGAATCATGTAGAATAACATCACTAAAGGGAATAGCAGTTGGGCTGGAAGTAAAAGCAGATAGGAGGCGATCTGCCAAGTTCTTAGCAGTTTCAAGGTAAACAGACGCTTTAGGCACATTGTTTGTCCCTGCTTCTGCTAAACTCAAATGATATGCACTTAAAAGACCTCCTAAGACACGTATGGTTGTTTCAAATAAATTGACTTGCCCTTTCTGGCTAATCCTATTTGAAAGTTGTGTTTCAACCCACGAGCTTGCTTCAGAAGCAACTTCATTAGCACCCATAATCATGGCAGTATCAAGAGCATCCACAATAGTAGCACCAAGCCCACCTAATCCGTCGACTCCCCTCTGGGAAACAGGCATAAGTTCATCATAACCCATTGCGTACTTTTTATAGCCCGACCATGCATGGATAAAAGCTTTCTTAACACTTTGTTGCCTATCTATCCATTTGGAATCTGAATTCAGACTAGGGCTACTTTTACTATCTCCAGGAGGTAAACGTGGAGGTAGCCTTGGCGGTTTTCTCAAAAACTTTCCAAGTTTAGTGCCACCAAAGACAGTGACCTTGTCTTCTCCCAAATTCCTTGCATCAGAAATAGACTGAGCAGGACTTGTGCGCGTCAGCATAAGACATGCTACACCAAATATCAATAGTAACAAAAGAAACTTGCCTGTACTACAGCTTATGCAATCATGTCTAATATTACTTGTAAGAAGGCTCTGAGAAATGACCTGGGAAACCAAAAGATAATAACACAAACTATATGAGTACAGCTTTGCAAGGAAAGAAGCAATTAAAACCAAACAATACCAAGGTAATAGAAATTGAACATCTCTAATTCATGATATTTGGATTTGTGTTGAAGATAATCATTCATAGAAAGGTAAGGATGACTTGCGAATAACCATGAGCAAAATCCATAATGCACTCAAATCTACGTAATCGAATTTGCAACATTAGATGAGCTAAGGCTCCCTTTCCAAGCTAAATGTGGTTGATTGAGAATTATAATGAGATTTGAGTTAACTGACCACGCTGATTAAAATATGTCAATTTTGAAGTTTCTAAGACATTAAACACATAATACAAAGAAATTAATCTCCATCAGGCTATAGATTTTAATGAAACTCCCAAACAAGCAATCAACTTGACATAGCATTTTTAAGCTTGTGACTAAATTTAGTCTACTTTATCATCATAATTTGGTGATCCATGGATAAACAGCTACAGAAATAAGGGAGTCCGAACTCCTTATTCCTTAAAGTAACGTGTGAATCTAAGGTGATTGTTTCTTGTCGATAATATTAACGTTAGCAGCTTAGAAGCAACTCAAAATCAGAAATTCCAAGTACTATTCAATCAGGAAATCTCCTTCTTTGACCAAAAAAAAAAAAAAAACCTAAAGAAAATCATAATCAATACAAAGAGAAGAAAACGACGCAATTACGAAATTCACTGAGTCAACGATCGATCAAGGACAGAATTCCTACGGTCAACCGAATTCAGCAAGAGGAGAATAAGATCGACTATTGAAACCTTGGAGAAGGAGCGATGGCGGAACTTAGCGTTGTCGTAGTGGAGATCTCTCTTGGAGTAAGGCAAAGACATGGACGACATGCTCGTTCCGAGATCGCCAGCTAGGGCACTACTTCCGTCGCAGAGCCGCGACGCGGGAATTCAGATCGGGCTGACGCCGAGAAATGGATTTTCGCGAGAAAGTGAGGGGAAATTTTTCTCCTTTTTGGATTTCTCGAGGCGCGGGGAATTGGGATTCGCGGGAATTATAGGCAACAACGCGCAATGATGTATTGTCGATCGATTAGAGAGAGAGAGGGGGGTTTGGGTTTGAATTTGATAGTGTGGGACGTTGGAGGGTCCTTGGGGCTTGTTTCTGAAGTCAATGGAACTTTGATGTTGATTGAGAGAGAGAGAGCGTTGTTGAAAAGTCCCCACTAGTTGGCACGTTTGCTAGTACAACCATGGGGCATTGACTCTGGACTGAGCAAAGCGCCACAGAGACAACGGCCGTGTTTGCTTAGCCGATTCGATCCCTAGTGACTTATGGTTTGAATTTATATCACTCGTTTATTTTATTAATTTAAGTTTAAAATTTAAATTTTATTAAAATTAAAAATTTTTAAAAATAATTATATTTAATTTTTTTATTACAATAAATTTTTTTACATAAAGTCACATATTAATTTAAATCAACGAATTAAACGAGCCTTATAGAATCTGAATTATAGTAATTTAAACTGTAATTTGAATTGGTGTTTCAGTACATAAGTAAATTGTAATTTAAATTATGTTCGGATAGAGTGTTAAAACTATCATTCGAATTTGTAATAAATCATATAAAATCTTATTGTAAATAGCATATTTTAATATAATGGATGAGAATTTACTCATCGTTTTATTATGAATACATTAAAAAAGAACATCTCAATTAGAATTGAAACGAAAAAGTTATTATATTTTTAAACTTAAATTTAAAGAGAGAAAAATAAAAAGCAATTGTGTTTGAACTGTCCATAACCATTCTACTTATTAAATTTGAGAGAGAGATGGAGGAGGGTTTGAACGACTCCTCTTTATTTCTAAACCAAACATTGTTGATAGTTGATTTTGTATCATGCCCATTTCAGGACCAATGAACTCGTCTTGCAACGTAATTGTGCTCGTTTAATAGGCCCAAGTCATGTTTAAGAAACTCGAATGGATTGTGTGTTTTAGTAGATCATGGGTAATCAAACGAGCCCATTTATTCTTATATTGATCTTAATTTAAATTCTGCCTGAGGGGTTTTCAAATTAATCTACGGAGAATTTAGCCCAAAAAAGCATTCCCTTTGCCTTTTGGAAGCCTAAATTTTTTTTTTATTTTTTATTTCACGGTCAAAACTCATCATTTTTAGTCCAAACAAAGGCTTTCTTCATGTCAGCTTTGCCTCTCGGAGCGTCATTGTGCGCGCCTCCAAGAGGGTTCCTGCATGAACCTCTGATAACATGAGAGCTTTCACAAAGCAATTTTTATCAGATGTTCAAAGCGAGGGTGGGTGCGACCATAAATAGCATGAAAAATCTTTGGCATTTGTTTGACTGTGATCAGACCTCTGAAAGAGAAAATCCATGAAGCACAATGTTTGAGTCAAACATATCTCGAGTTTCAGACCTGGGGAAGATTCGAAGTTAGCTTGAATTCCAGAATTTTGTCTTTAAGACAGTCGTCCATTTTCGGCTAATTTATTTGTCAATCCAGGAAGGTAGCTGACAGTTTTGCTCCAAGGAAGTTAAGTGCTCAGGCTTCCATTAGAGCAACCGTCAAAAACCTTCAAATTTCTTGTATAAATACCCCTTCTCACACCATTGGACCCAAAGGATGCCATTTTTCATAAGCCCATTTTTTCTCATCTTAATCAAAATTCTAAGTGATTTTTCTTCGAGTCTAACTCTTTTGTGATAAAGACTTAGTGTTCTTCATGTTTGCGCTCTTCGGGCTCGAAGTTCTTCGAAGAGGCTCCTGAAGTGCTGCCCAGATTCTAAGTGCTTCAAGCCTTAAAAAAAAAAAAAAAAAAAAAAGTCTCAAGAACACTACTAGATCTTCTTTCACTCATTATTCGTGAGTATTTTAAGTTTCATGGGCTTTTTTCCAGAAAACTCGAATCTTCCTTCAAGACGCCTAGCATTCGCCTCTCGAAACACGTTCTCGAAGTTCCAAAAAAGTGTTGTTAAGACTTCGTCTTCATAACCATCTATCTACCTATAAGAGTATTTCATCACTCACTTTTCCCGAGATATCCAAAAGTTGTCCTCAGAGAAATCTGCAATTGCCTTCGAAGAAACACTACCTGCTCTATTACAACCGTATCCAACCACTCCAATCTACTTCCTACTCTATTAAAGCCTTATCCAACCCTTCAAGTTTATTCTTTATCAACCGTTTGGTTGCTTCTCCTACCAATCTTCATCTACGTGGTTCTTTACTTGTTATTTTTTAGATCTCTTAAACATTTTTGCAGGGGTGTTGTAGACATTGGGCAATAAAACGGCCCTTGATTATATTTTCTTCGGCCCAATTTAGACCTAGTCCTCCTTGTTATTCTCATTAGGGGTCCTAACTCTTTTGTCTAATGAGAAGAACTAAAACCGAAACAAATTAATAGTTTTGGGATGAGATTTTTGAGATATTTTAAATGTCGGGATCAAAATGAGATTGAAAATAAAATTTAAGAGCTATTTGTGAGATTAACCTTAATAGTAAACATAATTATGTAAAAATAAAAATAAAAAATGTGTACAGAGGGACTTCTTAGCAAAAATAATCATAAAAAAATGTACAGAGACATAATTGATACTGGATACCCTATCCATCCAAGCGATTTTTCTCAATTATTTGTATTTACTGTGTCCAGTCATATTGGTTGATATTATCACCCACTGCACGTAATGAGTTAACTACCTCACCAATTTAAAAATTTAAAAGTTTTTTATTATTTACTAGTTGGCATAAGGTGCAGCAGTATGAATTAATGTCAAAATCACGTTAGAAACAGATCATTTTTAAGATGTGATGATTCTAAATATGAACTTTTTAGTATTTCATTTTCTCAATACCCATTAAAGAAACACATTTATTATTTATGTTCTATAGAATTGTTCGTTCATGCTTTGGCTTGACTTGTGTGATAGATTATAAAGAAAAGTACATGACTTGTTATGGTTTTATATATGTCTATTATTATGATATTTTAAATAATTAAGTGTTATTATAGTCTTTTATTTTATCTTTATTAATTGAATAACAATTGTTAATTTTTAAATAGAGTGACAAAAGTATATAAATATATATATTTACCATTTTGAGTGGTTCGCCATTAATATGAAGGTTACGTTCACTGTAAGGTCTCGACGTTTCACTATATGATGTAAAAAAGTACAATTACAATGAAAAATAAATAAGGAGAAGGGAGAAGTAGATTTAGAGAGAAAATAGAGGGAGTAAATTGGAGATATGGGGCTGTAAATGATTAATGAGATGTCAAATTCATGATTTTATCCCCTTTTTATAAGAGAAGGCTAGTTTCCCTTTCTCTTTTGAGTTGGGTTTGTGGTTACTTTTCTCTACTTTGTTGATTAGATTTGTGCCTTTAATGTAGTGTGCCTTTAATGTAGTATTTGGCAAGATTGAGCTTCGTGGCTTCCAAGAGATCTTCTTTCTTGATTTATTTTTAGTAGTCCTTACGGGTCTTTTGTCGTCGTGCTTCTCTAATTCTTTCAAATCTATCATGCCTCTAGTCGATTTCAATTGACTTTCCTTCCGAAATTCTGTCCACGTGTACAACTGTAATTGCGGCAAACAATTTAGTTTTCATAGAGTTACAATTTTTTTCCCTCTTTGTTGTTTTCTTACTTATAAATAATTAAGTTGAATTAATCTATTATTACCGATCAAAAGCATAACATTTCCACTCCATGTACGTTTTACCATTTTCTTACCACCTCTCCAATTGGTGTTTCATGAGGTAAATTCAGTTTTTGGCCCTGTGTGAAATTGACAGGGAATCAGAGATTTCTCTCTTCTATCAGTCCATTTCTCTATGCCAAAGCTACGACCTTTGAAGTTTCAACTCTCCTTGGGCTAGAAGAAAAAAATTTAACCAATAGAAGAAACATAATTCCAGATGGGTAATTCAGAATATAACTGACACACTTTTACAAAGCAAGAAACGACAATTACAGAAATTCGATTATTTTAGATACTCTACTAACTGTGAATTTTAATTTCATGTCAAATTTATACTTTATACTTTTATTGGATTAATATATAGTTGATCATGACCCTCTGACGAGTTGACACTTTATAGTTATAGTTATGGATAAACCTGTAATCAAACACTAATGACAGATTTACCTTTTACAGCTTAGTTCAAAAATATATTTATAATTTTTAATTTATTTACACACAATGCCTAACTCGTATTTAGTTACAGGTTTATATATGATTATCAGTTACAAAATGGTAAATTCACCCATCCAGAAAAGATTTGTTGTTAACCTAAAATTATATAAATTTGACGTAAATCTGAAATTAATGTTTAGAATATACTCAAAATTAACAAAAATGAAATAATATGTCAATACATAAATTAAATTGTTGGATATAAATTAATAAATAATCCCAGCTATATGATTTTTAACTGATTTTGGCACAGAAACCAAGTACCAATGTGGGGCTTTTTCATTAAAACAACAAAAGCACCCGTGTGGTTTTACAATAAATATAAAATTAGTCTTTATAATGGTTTGTGTTCAGTTCTGACTTGATATATCTGTAGAAACTACTTCACCAACTTTTACTACCGACTGACTATGCAATTCGCACTAAAAAAGATTCAAATCACGTATCTATTCTAATTAATTATATTACGTCGTATCATTTAATAAATTTAAACATTTAAATATAAAAAAAATAACATCTCAAATTTTTTAAATAACGTGATATAATATTATTAATTAGACACCACATTAAAACATTAAATTAGATATGCAATTTTTGAAAAGGTAATTGCATTTTAAATCAGAAAGTATTAATTCAGATGTGAAAGACCCTAATATATTTAGCAACTCAACTCTTATCATAGGCCGAGGCTGTTAATAGATTCGATTGAAACGTTCTAGAATGTAATATATGTACTGAGTTTTAACAAGTGGAAACTGAACAAGCACACAACTATTCTCTTCGATGGGTGACTCTAATTGATCGAGATCGAAAGATAAAAAATACTAAATTCTATCACAACACCGTAAAGAAAGACAACTTACGGTGTAGACATAAAGACTACGTCTACACCGGAAAGTGAGAAGACCCTTCCGTTATTCCAATCAAAAGCCAAACAAAGCAAAAAATTGAATCACATGATCATATGCCAGTATTTTAATTTGGTGAATAGAAGTAGAACCATGGTACTACTCATTTATTACATATTGATGATGGGATATTCTCAATTATAAATCACTTTATGTCTCCCGTCTTCCCCTTCATTCATCTTTGTGTTTGATATGGTTTAAATAATTTGGTCATGTAGGCAACACATAAAATCCTATCAGTATCACCAACCAAAATGCCACGGCAAGTTCGTACCATCATCCCTCATAATTATTTCTCCAATATTCCACTCAGAACTATTATTTTAACAATTATTGTTGCTGTAAAAGATAATTATTTCTATTAGTTTTGACCACTATTGCATAAGTACGCTAATTCACCAGGAAAACAAACCCCCCAATAGAAGTACTAATTAATCCCAAACCTTGTTATAAGCAACCAAGTATATATTATAAATATACTTGAACCTATTTTATGACACTTCCGAGTTGTGCTTCTCTCTCTAAACTGAATCCTAAGAAAGCCAAACTTCTTTTCCTTGGGATTATAACAGTTAGCTCTCGTGATCAATATCCTCTCCTCGTCACGAGATCATTATACAAATGAAACTGTACAACCCTAATAATTCTCAAATCTCATGGGTTTCTTCTTCGCTCAAACGTTGATGATCAACTCCAAGTCTTTCTGTCCCGTTATTCTCTTATTCCTTCTTCTCCTCCTTGTTTCCTCATCATCATCTCTACAAACCAAGCTCGTCAAGACCACTGCAGGCTCCGTCGACGTGCCGGCGGCGGCTCGGACGTCGTTCCAAGTGTTCTACATCAAGAACACGTCGCCGTTCTTCTTGGACGGACAACGAGAACCGATCGGAATTAACAAGAAGAGGAGGAATAAAACAAAGACGACGATGATGATGAGAAGAAAGAATATCAAGAACATGGAAAGGAGTAGGCCTAATTTCTCTGGGATGCTTCCCAAGGGTTTCGTCCCCCCATCTGGTTCGTCTCCTTGCCACAACGAGAATCCGAACTCGGTGGTCTTTTTCTGCGACCTTGGCTCCTCAAAGCCATAGAGAGTGCAATTGTTCAATGCTCCCTCAGATCGGAGATATATGTGAAGAGATTGGTTTTTTACTCTGTTTGGCTTCGTTTTTTTTTTTTTTTTTTTTTCTTGGTGTACTTTTCTTAATTTATATTTATACATTTTTTTTTTTTTTTGGGGGGGTTTTTAATTTTTTTTTTTTTTTTTTGGGGTTTTTTTTTTTTTTTTTTTTTTTTTTCTTGGTGTACTTTTCTTAAGTTATATTTATACATTTTTTTTTTTTTTTGGGGGGGTTTTTAATTTTTTTTTTTTTTTTTTGGGGTTTTTTTTTTTTTTTTTTTTTTTTTTCTTGGTGTACTTTTCTTAATTTATATTTATACATTTTTTTTTTTTTTTGGGTGAGTTGTTAATTTTTTTTTTCTTTTTTTGGGTACTTTTGTCTTCTCCTTGATACAGTACTTATATACGGATAAAAGGGATATTATGCTACAGATGGAAGTACTCAGAGAATTACAAAGATAGAAATTACTTTTCTCAGTTCTGTCTTAAATGTTTAAATATCCTTATCAGTGAATGTTACTACATATATATTCATTAGTTCAAGAAATTACTTTTCACAGAACATCTCAATTTGTCTTCAATTGGCCGCAATCGATCCATTTTTTGTTCTTTCTAGATCCATCACAATTAATGATTCTGTTGAATGCTATGTATAATTGCTCCACCATGAGTTAATAATATTTGGTATTTAGTTATTTTATTGAAATCATCTAAAGCCAGATATGAAGGTAATTAAGGTTTATGCACGAGAGAATTAGTTGACAGAAATAACTCTATGGAGAAAAAATGTAATTTGATTACAACCCGATTAAGTTCCACGGAGCCCGTGTGTTTAAGACCGTTTGGTCTAATGACAGGGTTTTTTGAGAAGAAGATTATAGGTTCCATCTCATCTAAGACGAAAATTCAATGCCCTTGTGACCACCTACAGTTTTTCTGAAACCTTGTAATTCTAATTTAGATACATCAATTAGTGGTCAATATTCTGAGACATGTATAGTGAGATGTCTGTCATTTTGACATATTTTTAACATTGTTTTTTCATGCGAAAAAAGTCAATACTTTTCCTAAATGGATGAATTTTAGCCACGAAGTAGCTAGGAAAGATTAAAGGAGCATGTGAATCTGCATCGGCTACAGGGGCTCCGGGTTTTTGGGTTATTGAAAATTCCTTTTCGTGGCGTGTACTCCATATATGCAAATTGCAATGGAAAGGGCCGGCTCTCTTTGCAATACGTGCCTACTCGAATATATAATATATTCCACAAAATTGTATATCATATAATACAAAATCATCCAAAATAAAGCAAATTATACGGTGAACCTCTCAAATACTTGCGCTGGTAGAAGCCCTGTTTTTAACTGTAAGATTAAATTTTTTATGATCAGATATGTGCAAATTCGTATTAAAAATTTACAACGCATCGTACAAAATTATTCCGTCTGCATATCTAATTGTTAAAAAAGTACTCAAACGGTCAAAAACAAGGACTCCACAGGTGGAATTTTTTTGGGTTCCACCATAGAGGCTGCCAATAAGGCAAATTATACGGTGCTGCCAACTAAAATCATATATCCACAAAATGCAGATTTACTCCCTACAAGTATACAATACCTGAATACGTATGTGTTTGAAACTTTGTACACATTTAAATCAGGAATGGCGTAGGAATTTTTGTTAGGACGTAGAGACTAATAATTACTATGAAATAAGCTAAATAAAAAAAATACATAAATGTTATTAACTGTCCGTAATGTGGTTTCAGACTTTCATATGTCATTTAACAATACTACAACTATCCATCCATGATATGTTTTAATTTTTTTTATTAGCCAGAACTAAGTTTACATATCCTCTAATAAATTCATTCCAGACCAAATTCACTGCTCAAATTTATTTATTTTTTTATTTTTAAAAAGAGCATAACTGTTCAAACCAACAATCCAGCCCCAATATAATAAACAAGAACCTACCGCAAGAAAAAAAATAAACGCATTTGAAACTATATATGAATGTCTATTCTCTTAAAAGATTTAAGAGATGCCTCGTTATTTAAAATCTTCACCCGGTAAAACTCAATGAAAAAAGAAAAAAATTGGAATACGGAAAAAGAGTGCATGATCTATTATGGTTATGACGAAGTGCTGCAATTTTTTTAAAAACCAAAAGCCAGAGCTTTAATTTCAAACTAAAAGAAGGAATAAACCTCAATGTCACACAAACATCATATATATGTATATATAAAACATAATCTGGAGCACCTAAAAGACCAAAAGGCATAGGTGACAAACACAACCTTTATAAAAGTTTATCAGCAACCTAATTACCTTTTTTAATAAATGTGCGGGACACAAAAGATCAAATTCTCAAGCTCCGACAAAGTCTTTAACCATCGTGAATATTAGAAGCAATGTGGCACCTGTCAGGAAACGCCTTTCTATATATTAACTTTATATGGTTAATGTCTTAAAGGTTTGAAGCTTTTATTTTATTATTGTTTAAATTTACAAAATGGGGACCTATGTACCCAAGAAAAAAAAGAAGAAGAAGAAGAAGTTTAGGACTCAATTGATTCAAATTTTCAAACTGGGGACCCAAATGCTACGGAAATGAGAGAGGTGAGGACCCAATTGTCTGAATATCAAAATGAGGACCTTAGTGTCAAAGATATAAAAAAGTTTGGGGACCCCATGTGCCAATCCCTATGTGGTCGTTTGGTTCATGGATTCAGAACCATTTTCAATTTACGTGTATTTTTTGTGAGAGAAAATATAGTAGTGAATCACGAACTATGATTCAAATCATGAAACATGACTGCATGATTCGGATGAGTTTATATATATAAGACTTATTTTTTTCTAATTGGTCAGATAGAAATTGTTTGGGGTACTGTCCCACTCCCACCTTAGTACTCTAATCACCTAATTTAGTACTAATATAAGCTTCGTGAAGTAGTTTAATTCGGGTTGTAGAAACCTCTGTTTCTTTTAAGGAACTAAAATAGCTAACAACCATCATTAAGAAAACACATATAACAAGAACTTGCATTATGGAACCTTAAGCCTCTAATTATTAGTAGGAATTCCTATATATATATACACACTAACATGAATACATAGATATGTAGTTGACGTTACCATGACCACGACAAGAACTCAGTTTTGCAGATGCTCCATTAACTCTGACTCTCGAAGCTTGTAGGTATCATGAGCCCATGGTCCAACACTGTATCAAAAATGACCGATGGTATGTGCTATACTTTGTAATATTCTTGGCCCGATCTGCCTACTTTAAGCACAAAGTCTTTGGGCATGTCGTAGAAATGCAGAAGTTTGAGCTTCCTTAGTTTTTTTATGTCGTTGGTAAAATATAATTGAGTGAATAATGAGAGTTGTTCTGTTCATTGTAATTAAAAGAATATATATACAAAGTTACAATGGGATGTGTGAGATAACAAGAAATTATAATTACACTGAAATTGTGTAATTTTAATGTTAAATTATAATTACACTGAATATATATTCTCGGGGCCTGGAGCTTACTGACACTGAAAATTACACAGAAAACTAGAAAAGCGAGGTTCTTTCCAAGAGAAGAAATGGGGAGAAATGGGGAGAATGGATTTTGGGAATTTTGTTTTTGTTCGTTTTTTTTTTTTTTCTCCTTTGACAAGGTTTTTGTTTTCTTGATGGTTTTTTTCCCCTCCTAGAAAAAAGGTTCGAATTTATTTTTAAAGCTAATAGATACTTAAAATTTTTTAATACAAATTAGTAAGAATAATCATGATATCATTTATAAAAATTTGAGCTCTGGGGGTTTTTTTAAACTTTTTTTTAGCAAACATGAAAAGTGTACAAACTAAGAGCCCATTTAATTAACTGATTTGAGTTTTTAATTTGAGTTTGGATCTGACTTTATGTGAGAGTTTTTTACTGTAGCAAAAAAGTTAGATGTGACTGTTTCTGATAGCTTTTTACTGTAACAAAACTCGAATTAATAAAATGAACGGGGCTTAAAATTTTTTTAAAAAAATATCAAAAACAATCCTTATAAAAAAAACAAGGGTATGTCGTTGATGAATGCATGAGATAACAAGAAATTTCGTGGCTCAGTGTGCCAGGCCCTTGGTGCTTGGCGTAGTCCGTATATTGCTTTCTTGAGTTTGCATACATGATGTGGGAATTGAGGGTTCAAAGACGAAAAACAGAAAAAATAATAAAAAATAAAATATTCATTAAAAAATGGTGCTGTTTGTTGCATTAATTCTTAAAAATTATATACTAATTTTAGAATGTGAAACATAAATAAAAATGTTAATTTTTGACTTATTTTAGTCCCTAGGCGCCCCACTGCGCGGGTGGATGCTTCTTGACAGCGTTTTCTTTTTTCATAATTTGAGGCCATTTTTTGGAGGCATGCTCAGAAAAATGTAAGGATCGTATTTGCTAAATTTCAGAACTTTTGACGTCATTTTTATTTTATTTTATTTGTCAAAGACGAAAAATAGGGAAAATCATAAAAAAAATAGAATATTTATCACAAAATGGTGCCGCTTGTTGCATTAATTCCTAAAAATCATAGGTGCTTTTTGGCAGCGTTTTCTTTTTTCATAATTCGAGACCATTTTTTGCAGGCATGCTCAGAAAAATATATGGATCGTCTCTGTAAAATTTCAGAATTTTTTGACATCGTTTTTATTTTATTTTATATTTAAAGATGAAAAATAGAGAACATCATAAAATATAGAATATTCATCAAAAAATAGTACTGCTTGTTGCATTAATTCCAAAAAATTATATATTAATTTTAGAATGTGAAACATAAATAAAAGTGTTAATTTATGACTTATTCTAGCCCCTGGGTGCCCCACAGCGCAGGTGGGTGCTTCTTGACAGCATTTTCTTTTTTCATAATTTGAGGCCATTTTTTGGAGACATGCTCAGAAAAATGTAAGGATCGTATTTGCTAAATTTCAGAACTTTTTGACATCATTTTTATTTTACTTTATTTGTCAAAGAGGAAAAATAGAGAAAATCATAA